GTGTCTGTTATTTATTTATTTTGGCTGCAATTTCTGAGGCTGGTATCTCTAATGAACTTATCCTCTGCAGCAGAGGTAACTCTGGGTCTTCCATTCCTGTGGCGGTCCTCATGAGAGCCAGTTTCACTATAGCGCTTGATGATTTTTGCGACTGCACCTGAAGAAACTTTCAAAGTTCTTGAAATGGTGTGTATTGACTGACCTTCATGTCTTAAAGTAATGATGGGAAAGTGGTTTCTCTTTGCTTATTTGAGCTGTTCTTGCCATAATATGGACTTGGTCTTTTGCCAAATAGGGCTATCTTCTGAATACCCCCCCTACCTTGTCACAACACAAATGATTGGCTCAAACGCATTACGAAGGACATAATTTCCACAAAATAACTTTTAACAAGGCATACTTGTTAATTGAAATGCATTCCAGGTGACTACCTCATGAAGCTGATTGAGAGAATGCCAAGAGTGTGCAAAGCTGTCATCACGGCAAATGGTGGCTATTTGAAGAATCTCAAATATAAAATATATTTTAATTTGTTTAGTACTTTTTTGGTTACTACATGACTCCAAATGTGTTATTTCATAGTTTTGATGTCTTCACTATTATTCTACAATGTAAAAAAAATAATAAAAATAAAGAAAAACCCTTGATTGAGTAGGTGTGTCCAAACTTTTGACTGGTAGTGTATATAAATATGTTTTTCCTTTGTCATTATGGGGTATTGTGTGTAGATTAATGAAGTGGGGAAAAACAATTTAATCCATTTTAGAATAAGGCTGTAACGTAACAAAATGTGGAAAAAGTCAAGGGGTCTGAATACTTTCTGATAGCACTGTACTTTGTCCATAATGTAGAGGCATATGGGATTTTCATTGAAGAGGTAAGGGGGACTATGGTACATGTGCTCTGCATAACATACCAATACCAATTGACATACCTTTGTATGCCTCCTCGTCTGTATACCTGCAGACACAAACACAAAAGTGAGCAGTTCAGTCATCTGCACCCAATTCAGCTATCCTTCAACATATTCTTATAGCCTACATATTCTTACCTCTTTGTTGATTGATATCCATTGAATTGTGTCCATTTTCTGTTCAGAAAGATTTGCACAAATATGAAAAGATAGATGGTATCATCATAAAACAATATCAATTTAGATCATACAAGGGACAAACCTTACCTTAAATTGAGGAGATCTTTACATTTTTCAGTTAAGTGCCTGCACCTGCTGTCCTTTCAAATTCAAATCCAAATGTTTCAGTTGGGCAGTTAGGTTCCTGCTAGAACCCCCACCAACTAAGGAGGTTCCTTGATGAACCCCACCTCCTATGGGGTTCTTGGAAGAACCTTTTGGGGGCAATTTTCAGTGCCAAGAACCCTAAGGTTCTCCGAAGAACTTTGAGGATCTTAGAAGAACCCTTGTTGAACCCCTAATTTTTTTAGAGTGTTTACTGTTTTGTTTTTTTAGGTACTGTATACACGGTATAATTGTACTGTATGCAGCAGTCTAGTGATCAAATCAAATCAAATCAAATTTTATTGGTCACATGCGCCGAATACAACAGGTGCAGACATTACAGTGAAATGCTTACTTACAGCCCTTAACCAACAGTGCATTTATTTTAAACAAAAAAAGTAAGAATAAAACAACAACAAAAAAGTGTTGAGAAAAAAAGAGCAGAAGTAAAAATAAAGTGACAGTAGGGAGGCTATATATACAATAGAATAAAGTGACAGTAGGGAGGCTATATATACAGGGGGGTACCGTTGCATAGTCAATGTGCGGAGGCACCGGCTAGTTGAGGTAGTTGAGGTAATATGTACATGTGGTTAGAGTTAAAGTGACTATGCATAAATACTTAACAGAGTAGCAGCAGCGTAAAAAGTATGGGGTGGGGGGGCAGTGCAAATAGTCCGGGTAGCCATGATTAGCTGTTCAGGAGTCTTATGGCTTGGGGGTAGAAGCTGTTGAGAAGTCTTTTGGACCTAGACTTGGCACTCCGGTACCGCTTGCCGTGCGGTAGCAGAGAGAACAGTCTATGACTAGGGTGACTGGAGTCTTTGACAATTTTGAGGGCCTTCCTCTGACACCGCCTGGTATAGAGGTCCTGGATGGCAGGGAGCTTTGCCCCTGTGATGTACTGGGCCGTACGCACTACCCTCTGTAGTGCCTTGCGGTCAGAGACCAAGCAGTTGCCATACCAGGCGGTGATGCAACCAGTCAGGATGCTCTCGATGGTGCAGCTGTAGAATTTTTTGAGGATCTGAGGACCCATGCCAAATCTTTTTAGTCTCCTGAGGGGGAATAGGCTTTGTCGTGCCCTCTTCACGACTGTCTTGGTGTGTTTGGACCATGATAGTTCGTTGGTGATGTGGACACCAAGGAACTTGAAGCTCTCAACCTGTTCCACTACAGCCCCGTCGATGAGAATGGGGGCGTGCTCAGTCCTCTTTTTTTTCCTGTAGTCCACAATCATCTCCTTTGTCTTGGTCACGTTGAGGGAGAGGTTGTTGTCCTGGCACCACACGGCCAGATCTCTGACCTCCTCCCTATAGGCTGTCTCATCGTTGTCGGTGATCAGGCCTACCACTGTTGTGTCGTCGGCAAACTTAATGATGGTGTTGGAGTCGTGCCTGGCCATGCAGTCATGGGTGAACAGAGAGTACAGGAGGGGACTGAGCACGCACCCCTGAGGGGCCCCCGTGTTGAGGATCAGTGTGGCAGATGTGTTGTTACCTACCCTTACCACCTGGGGGCGGCCCGTCAGGAAGTCCAGGATCCAGTTGCAGAGGGAGGTGTTTAGTCCCAGGATCCTTAGCTTAGTGATGAGCTTTGAGGGCACTATGGTGTTGAATGCTGAGCTGTAGTCAATGAATAGCATTCTCACGTAGGTGTTCCTCTTGTCCAGGTGGGAAAGGGCAGTGTGGAGTGCGATAGAGATTGCATCATCTGTGGATCTGTTGGGGCGGTATGCAAATTGGAGTGGGTCTAGGGTTTCTGGGATTATGCTGTTGATGTGAGCCATGACCAGTCTTTCAAAGCACTTCATGGCTACAGACGTCAGTGCCACGGGTCGGTAGTCATTTAGGCAGGTTATCTTAGAGTTCTTGGGCACGGGGACTATGGTGGTCTGCTTGAAACATGTTGGTATTACAGACTCAGTCAGGGACATGTTGAAAATGTCAGTGAAGACACTTGCCAGTTGGTCAGCACATGCTCGGAGTACACGTCCTGGTAATCCGTCTGGCCCTGCGGCCTTGTGAATGTTGACCTGCTTAAAAGTCTTACTCACATCGGCTACGGAGAGCGTGATCACATAGTCGTCCGGAACAGCTGGTGCTCTCATGCATGCTTCAGTGTTGCTTGCCTCGAAGCGAGCATAGAAGTGGTTTAGCTCGTCTGGTAGGCTTGTGTCACTGGGCAGCTCGCGGCTGTGCTTCCCTTTGTAGTCTGTAATAGTTTTCAAGCCCTGCCACATCCGACGAGCGTCAGAGCCAGTGTAGTATGATTCAATCTTAGACCTGTATTGACTCTTTGCCTGTTTGATGGTTCGTCGGAGGTCATAGCGGGATTTCTTATAAGCGTCCGGGTTAGAGTCCCGTTCCTTGAAAGCGGCAGCTCTACCCTTTAGCTCAGTGCGGATGTTTCCTGTAATCCATGGCTTCTGGTTGGGGTATGTACGTACGGTCACTGTGGGGACGACATCATCGATGCACTTATTGATGAAGCCAGTGACTGATGTGGTGTACTCCTCAATGCTGTCTGAAGAATCCCGGAACATGTTCCAGTCTGTGCTAGCAAAACAGTCCTGTAGCTTAGCATCTGCGTCATCTGACCACTTTTTTATTAGCCGAATCACTGGTGCTTCCTGCTTCAGTTTTTGCTTATAAGCAGGAATCAGGAGGATAGAGTTATGGTCAGATTTGCCAAATGGAGGGCGAGGGAGAGCTTTGTATGCGTCTCTGTGTGTGGAGTAAAGGTGGTCTAGAGTTTTTTCCCCTCTGGTTGCACATTTAACATGCTGGTAGAAATTAGGTAGAACGGATTTAAGTTTCCCTGCATTAAAGTCCCCTGCTACTAGGAGCGCTGCATCTGGATGAGCGTTTTCCTGTTGATTAATGGCCTTGTACAACTCATTCAGTGCAATCTTAATGCCAGCATTGGTTTGTGGTGGTAAATAGACAGCTATGAAAAATATAGATGAAAACTCTCTTGGTAAATAGTGTGGTCTGCAGCTTATCATAAGATACTCTACCTCAGGCGAGCAAAACCTTGAGACTTCCTTAGTATTTGATTTGGTGCACCAGCTGTTGTTTACAAATATACAGAGACCGCCACCCCTCGTCTTACCCGAGTCTGCCGTTCTGTCCTGCCGATGTAGCGTATAGCCTGCTAGCTGAATGTTATCGTTGTCGTCGTTCAGCCACGACTCCGTGAAACATAAGATATTACAGTTTTTAATGTCCCGTTGGTAGGATAACCGTAATCTTAAATCGTCCATTTTATTCTCCAAAGCTTGAACGTTGGCTAATAGGATTGATGGGAGAGGCAGTTTACTCGTTCGCCGTCGGATCCTTACAAGGCACCCCGACCTACGTCCACGATATCTCCGTCTCTTCCTCACGCGAATGACGGGGATCTGGGCCTTGTCGGGAGTCTGTAGAATATCCTTCGCGAACGCCTCGTTGAAGAAAAAGTGTTCGTCCAACGCGAGGTGAGTAATCGCTGTCCTGATATCCAGAAGCTCTCTTTGGTTATAAGAGACGATGGCAGAAACATTATGTACAAAATAAATTACAAATAACGCGGAAAAACACACATAATAGTACAATTGGTTAGAGGGCTGTAAAACGGCAGCCATCTTCTTCCGGCGCTGATGATTCCTTGCTTGAGATATATCCACATGAATCATGAGCATTAATATCATTTAGAGATTTGCGCTTAACAACTGAGTAACATGCACATATGAATATGGACTTACTTGCAGATATTCATTCAAATGTTTATTTTTTTTTATTTCAGTGCACCAGGCAGTGGCCCGAAGTTCAAGTCTACTACTGTAGCAGTGGAGGCCAGTTTCAGAGAGAGCTGTACCGATGGACTGTCAGAAGAGACCCACAACTCCACAGTGCTGGAGACAGGGACCCACAACCACACCACCAGCACCAGCACTGGCGTGGCCTCCAACAGCAAGACGCAGCAGACACTGTACTGGCCCTACAACGGCAAGGCCAAGAAACAAACTTACAAAAGGCACAAAATCGCCTTCTCATTCTCCTTCCCAAAGAAAGCATCGGTGAAGCTGGAATCTGCAGCGGCGGTGTTCTGTGAGAACACAGAGGAGGGTTCCAAAGAACGTATCAGAACACAGAAGCTCAGAATTCCCCTCGTTGAGATGAACATCCCCGTTTCACCCACTGCAGAGGAGAAAGGACGGGGTTTTGGGGGTGTGGAGGCTATTGGCACTCAGCCTGGTGATCTCAGCCCAAACAGTGTTTGTGAGGGGGGTCAGAGGTCATCAGATACACTAGCCAGGTCTGACATCCCCATGCCACCACCGGCCTCACATCTGTGTTCTGTGCTAGTTAACTCTGAGGATATGGCCAGACCTTATGTGTCCTCCGTCTCCCAATTACCTGCCTCCCCTTGTCGCATTCCCCCAGACGACCCAGACACAGTACTAGATACACAGAACTCTGAGGAAACTCAGATAAAGAGCCCAACAGAGGCCGAGCCGGAAACAAGCAAACACCAACAAGATCATGTAGTAGAAAGGAGTGTCTCGGGGGAAGAAAACTCCTCCATTAGCAGTTCCTCTTCAGAGGTCATCGCCAGTTCTGATGGTCCCCCTGAGAACCACTCCTCCTCCTCTCAGTTCTCTCAGTCCTCTCAGTGTCCTGGGACTGTAAGAGAGGAAGAGGAAGGAGAAGACATTACGGCGATGAAGACCCTGTCGTGTCCTTTCACCAAGCCCATCCAGCCGTTCTTCTCTGTGCTCAGCAGAGATGGAAACACTGTTCTCCAGTGGCCTTCAGAGATGCTGACCTTCACCAGGACAGAGCCCCGTCTCACCTACAGTTGCAACCCCCTCCATTTTGACTTTAAGGCCTCGCATCATTCGCAGAGCAGGGCGAAGGTTAGCGTCGGTGACAGTCAGAGTAAGACGGAGCTGAGGTTATCTGAGGCGTTGTGTTTCGGCTCAACCTCTTTCTGTTCTGAGGAACCAACAGACAACAAGCACGACAAAGATGGCTACTCAAGGCCAGACCATCACAGCCATGATGATGTCATCAGAGACGACAGGGAGGCAGCGGAGAGGAAGGGTTGTCTCATATGTGAGCACCACATGAGTGACACAGACACAGACAGCTGCAGCTTGCGACTGAAGAGACACAGCAGTGTCTACAGCAGCTGTACATCTAGTAGTCAGTCAAAAAGTCAGACTCATTCTGGCCAGAGAGCAGCGGGCGGCGAGAAATGGAAATCCAGAGACAGACGCCATTACAGGAGCCACAAGAAGAGGAAGAGAAGGAGGAGAGGAGGGGATGAGGAGGAGGAAGAGAAGCACGGAGTGAGGGAGACGGATGGAGGTGTGGATAGCAATGCGGAGAAATGCAACAAATTCCAGAGACAGTCTGAGTGTTGGGAAGGACTTGATAGCCAATTTAGAGGCCCCACTTCACAGCCATTAGAGAAGTCAAAGCAATCACCTCAAAATCAGGCTGACAGCGGCCACGCTGCTCCCTCTGCCGCTGAGGACAGGGAGAGAGAGAGGGTGAAGAGAGATAGGGAGGAGAGAGAGAGGGAAGAGAGAGAGAGTGTGGAGCGAGAGAGGGTGGAGAGAGAGAGGGAGAAGAGAGATAGGGAAGAGAGAGAGAGAGAGAGGGAGGAGAGGGAGAGGGAGAAGGAGAGAAGCAGACAGGAAACAGCAGGCAGGGTAAACGGATCAGTGGGCAGCCTCAGCCTCTCTGATGAGGGCGCCACGAATTCTGAAAAGGTGTTCGGGAGCGACGGCAGAAGAGACCCAGTCGATCCTTCAACAGAACAGAGAAACGCTTCAGGATACGGCTCACAGAGCTCACAGAGCCACGACAACCCCTGCCCAGAGAACCCTGCTGGGGCTGTTAGACAAAACCCAACCATGGTGATGACACATCTGTCACCACAAAGCCCAAGGACCATTACCCAAAAAGCAAGCATGACAAAATCCCTTTCACCAGAGAGCTGTGCTGAAGACTGTTGTATCGGCCAATCCTTGAGAAGGAAACGGAGAGCATCATCTTTGGTTGATAAAGATGAGCAGGGTCCTGACCATCAGGGCCCATGCACCCAGTGTCAGTCACCTGTAATGGTAGAGCCCAATGGGCCAGAGGGTTCAATGGGTGAGGAGGGGTCCTCTTGGTCTGGCTGTGTTTCCTGTGGTGGGAAGGGGAGACTAAGGAAGAGACAGAGAGGGTCCAGTTACGCTCCTCTCATCTCAGACCTTCCTGTAGGTCACAGTGTTCACATCTCAGACCCTCCTGTACGTCACAGTGTTCACATCTCAGACCCTCCTGTAGGTCACATTGTTCACATCTCAGACCCTCCTGTAGGTCACAGTGTTCACATCTCAGACCCTCCTGTAGGTCACAGTGTTCACATCTCAGACCCTCCTGTAGGTCACAGTGTTCACATCTCAGACCCTCCTGTAGGTCACAGTGTTCACTTCTCAGACCCTCCTGTAGGTCACAGTGTTCACATCTCAGACCCTCCTGTAGGTCACAGTGTTCACATCTCAGACCCTCCTGTAGGTCACAGTGTTCACTTCTCAGACCCTCCTGTAGGTCACAGTGTTCACATCTCAGACCCTCCTGTAGGTCACAGTGTTCACTTCTCAGACCCTCCTCTGGATGGGCTGTCTGGTTGCAGATGTAAGCTGGATGTCCAGAGTGAGAATCTAGTGAATACAGCCGTAGAATACCCTGTGCTAAAAGGTCCACTTGCCAGCTGTAGTGCTCTGAGTCAGCCGGCTGTAGAGCACAGCTGCAGTGCCCTGAGTCAGCCGGCTGTAGAGCACAGCTGTAGTGCCCTGAGTCAGCCGGCTGTAGAGCACAGCTGTAAGTCAATGGGAGGCTCTCCTCTGCTCCAGATTCAGAACAACGTTCCCAGCGTGAAAGAAGATTGTTCCTCCTCTCCCTCTCAACCTGAGCCTGTACACTATCCCCCAAATCCCCCAGAAATAATCGGTATTACTAATGAAAACAAAAACATCACCGTTTGCCTCCCAAACTCTCCCACTGTCTCTCTCCCGATCATGTTACATAATCTAGGAATGGACAACAATGGACAAGATTGTATAACAAGACAAACCATGACAGTGGCTGCTCATGTCAGCCCACTGGGTGTGAGAGAGATTCCCCCGCCATTCATCCCTCCACCGATGTTTCAGATACAGAAGGCGAGTCTGGACACGTCCTGTCAACACAGTCCCCAGAGCCACCCCCACCACCAAAGGTGTCACAGCCCCCAGCCTCCCCAGGGTAATACCCAGCATCAGAGGTGTCATCCTGGGGTTAGGGTTCAGGAGGAGAGAGGGATCAGGGAGGGCCCTAACATTACAGGCAGCCCTTGTAGTCCCTATCATAGACCAGCTAGCCCCTACCACAACCACAGACCTCCAAGTTTCCATCCGCAGCACCCGTCTGATGGCATGGAGAAACACCACTGTCTCGTTCAGATCCAGACCCATAGACACATCATCCATCAACGTCAGCAGCACCAGGTGTTCCCAGAGAAGATGAAGCCTGTCCTGCCTGGGTCTCCTGTCCCCATGTCCTCCTCCTGTCCTGCCATGCTCCACCCCGTCCACATGTCTCCCATGCCTAGCGGGTCCATCACCATCCGACACACTATCCGACACCACCAGCACCACCACCATGCAGTCTTCCTGCCCCCTCACCTCCTGCCCCCTCACCTCCTGCCCCCTCACCTCCAGCCCCCTCTCTTCCCCCAGGTCCTGCCAGTCCCAGTCAGCCGCCTGCCTATTGGAGCAGAGATGTGTACCTCTGGACCGCCTCCATTTGTTACCTCAACAACGCATCTCTCTGTGGTGGCCCCGCCCAGTTTACACCACCACCCAATGGCAGTGACGTTCCACGCCATGCCCCGCCCAACCATGTTCCCTGCCTCCATGCTTCAGTCACATTCACATCCCACCGTCATCCCACTGCAGCCCATGTTTTGAGACATCACATCCCACTGCAGCCCATGTTTTAAGACATCACATCCCATTGCAGCCCATGTTTTAAGACATCACATCCCAGTGCAGCCCATGTTTTAAGACATCACATCCCATTGCAGCCCATATTTTAAGACATCACATCCCATTGCAGCCCATGTTTTAAGACATCACATCCCACTGCAGCCCATGTTTTAAGACATCACATCCCATTGCAGCCCATGTTTTGAGACATCACATCCCATTGCAGCCCATGTTTTGAGACATCACATCCCATTGCAGCCCATGTTTTGAGACATCACATCCCATTGCAGCTCATTCAATCATATTTTTTATGTTTTGCTTCCAACGAAGCAAAGAAACATTTCTTTTAATTTCAACTAGTACTTTTTTCATGTAGTTTTGTCATTATCTTCATGTAACATTCAAACCTGTTTTAGCAATGGAAAGGCTTCTGTAGTATTCAGAGTGATAAGTGCTTTTCACTCATACTCTATTAGACAGAAATATTTCCTTTCGAGAGACAATCAAGCATAACTAAAGAATTAGGACGTGTGCACATTTAAAACCAGTCCGATGTAGGTACTGTCTGAGGCAGATTCATTATTAAAGTCTGCGGTATTCTATAGTCTGTATTTTTTGCTAGTGAAGTGCTTCAATAGTCTACCTTCAGGGCATTTAATGCAATACTAGTTCAATTAAACGTGAAGACACACAATAAAAAGGACTGTATCTAGTGCAACAGTACGTTTCGATGATGTTCACTCTATATTCATTTGCTTTCCTAAATTATGACAATTCATTCATGTAACATTTACCCCTGATTGGTCCATGTACTACGGTATTCCAAAGCATTTATTTAATGTATTTGTAAGGTTTTACCCGTCTGACTATAAAAAATCATTTGGCCACTCTATTTTACAGCGTCCCTCCTCAGTTTCTGACGCAGCCAAGAAATACAGCTATATGTCAGGTCTGGTGACTACAATGTTAAATGTCTTTATTTTTGACATAGTGAGACCCTTCTGATTCTGAAGTAGGATAGCATAGAAAAATGTCTAATTAACTTTAGATTTATTTTGTATAAAAATGTCCAAGTGTCTTTATGATCACGTAAAACCCTGATTTCATATGTAAACCTGGTTACCAAGTGGTTCCTAGCCTCTCGATGGGTCTTCTTCATGTAGCTCTAATACAGTAGATATACACTCCCCTACATATTTATTTGGACAGTGAAGCTACAATTGATATTTGACTCTAAACCACACCATTTTGGATTTGAGATTTTTATTTAAATCAAGTTTTAAGCGAGGCAATAGTCCAGAATGTCACCTTTTATTTGAGGGTATTTTCATACTGTTTAGAAATCAATACATTTTGATGTACTGTGTCTAATCCCTCTATTTGAAGGTGTCGTAGGTAGTTGGACAAATTCACTTAAAGTGTATTACATTTAGTCAAAAGAATGTATGAATGTATTTTGGAGTGACTTTTATTGTAAATAAGAATAGAATGTGTTTCTGAACACTTCTACATTAATGTGGACGTTACCATGGTTACGGATATTCATGAATGAATCATGAATCATGGTGAGTAAGAATGTTACAGAGGCACAAAGATCATACCCCCCCCCAAAACATGACAATAACAGGGAGGTTAACTTTCTCACTCATCGATTATTCATGATTCATTCATGATTATCTGTAATCATGGTAGCATCCACATTAACGTAGACATTTTCAGAAACATGTTCTATTCTTAAAGTGACCAGAATTACACAATACATTGTTTTACCATTCATTTCTACTGGCCACAGCATATTCCGAAACCACAACCAAAACAAACAGCAAATGCATCCAACAAGTTTATAGAGCCACAAGCTTAATGTAGTCATTGCATGCTAGGAATATGGGACCAAATACTAAACTTTTGACTAAATTGGATACAATTTAAGTGAATTTGTACAAATAATGATGACACCTTCAAATGGAGGGACTAGATACATAAAGTGCTTTAATTTCTAAACTGTAAAACAGATATATATGAAAATAGTGTCAGATAAAAGGTGACCTTCTGTACTGTCGCCTCATATAAGACAAATTAAAAGTAATACATTTCATCTATAGAGACAAATTAAAAGTGATAGCTTCACTGTCCAAATAAATACGTAGGAGAGTGTAACTGTTGCTGGGGTGAAAAACTGTCCTACCATTCTGTGATATAATTAATTCCACTTGCTCTGAGAAAAAAATTACATGTTGTAAATTAGACATATTTATAATCCACTTGCAGGATTTATTGTAAGATACAGTTCTGTTTTTATAGTACCCTGATGTATTATTATCAGTATTCAACTATGTTTTTACTAAAATTGTGTCAACAGAATGGTGTTGAAGTCAAATTAAATAAATTAAACAGATATAAAATATTCCTACTTCTTAAGTCTCTTTGTGTGAGATGTGTCTGTGTGAGATGTGTCTGTGTGAGATGTGTCTGTGTGAGATGTGTCTGTGTGAGATGTGTCTGTGTGAGATGTGTCTGTGTGAGATGTGTCTGTGTGAGATGTATATTTATATATTCCCTCGGCAGTACAGTATAAATGAGTACAGCAGCATCTATGTCAAGTTGAGTGAAAATCTTTCTGCACAGGCATTAACAGAAAAGCTGTTTGAGGGGTTGTAAGAGAGAGAAAAAAAAGCAATGCGGAGGCAATTTTTCTTGGAGATAAAGTGCTGTTGAATATTTCATCTAAAGAGTTGTTGAGAGAGATTACAAAAAAAAAAAAAAAAAAGTGAAGGTGGATATATATGGAGTAACACAAATGTAGTCAGTCTATTTTACAATGAGATGCATTAAATCTCCCACAGCCGTGGCTTGTCAAACACCCCACATGATTTTCAACAGCTACACGACCTCCAGAGCTCTCGAGCTGTCGTGTGAAATGGCCACTTTCACCTCCAGGCGTCTACAGCGTCTCTCGTCTTCTTCTATTGAGTGACTTAAAGGATATAGTCAGGCTAAGTCAAAAAAAGTACAATACGTTATCGCAAGGTCCCAATACACTTTACAGGGGGGAATAAATACATAAGTTATGAGGTAGTTCTACGGAGCGATGTTTTTTGCTGTTGTACCACCGTCTGACTGACAGCTCACAGCAGCAGAGGCATCAGAGCAGGGATTGGGCGACTGGCGTCCGGCCCCCTTTTTGAAGGCCCTTGGATGTACTTATTCTCCCCCCTGTAAAGTGTATTGGGACCTTGTGATAATGTATTGTACTTTGGATCAGTTTCCCAACTGGAACTCAGTCAGGCGTCTCTCAATTTACTGTTGCGGTGTTAGAATAGTAGAATACACAAGGTGCAATTTCTAAATGTGGTTTGTGCATCAGCGGGTTTTCCTCTTGTTATGTCAGTCACTGATAGACAATTAGACCATGTTAGCAAAAAAACATTTTTTAAACTTGTTATTATGTTTGAATTACCGTCCGGGAGGGGCCTTCGTCAGTCTCACTCAGAAATCACATTAAATCCTGCAAACACTTTTCTCCACCCCTATGGCAAAATGTGTTGAACGGTAGGAAATTAGCTGTAAAACATCTAATGTTCTTCTCCGACCCCCATGACAAAATGAGTAGAACTGCAGCAACCTTGCTTTAAAACTGCAACGTTGTCTATACACCCGACGGCAAAATGTGTAGAAATGCTCAAAATTAACTATAAAACGTTTAAATTGTCTCTACGCTGTCATGGGGGGGGGGGGGGGGGGGTTGCTCACAATCTGCACGTGTGGGCCATAGAGGTGAATACACAGACCGGGAGCAACTGTGGCCCCTCATGATGAGGTCTGATTTTTTTGTGGCCCCCCCCTCCCCAATCCCTGCATTAGAGTGTGGATGATGACGGAGCCAAGACATTGGTTGTTTCTCAATATGCGCGCTCTCATGCTCCGAGTGCATTCTCTCCAACGACGTTCTCTTGAATACGTTCTTGTGAGGGCGAGAGTGCGGAGAAGGCATGAAACATTACATTAGAGAAGCGCCCCCCCCCCCCCCCCCCCCCACCCTACTGTATGACCTCACGCTGCATCTCCCCGTTTTCACTGAACCTTCTTCCAGCCGGGACACAACGGCAACAACAGAGACCAAACAAGATGTACACAAAGCAACCGTTCTACTTTACAACTATCGGCTAGACATCTGAATCGTAATAATCTCGCTAACCATGATAGTTTAAACAGGCAAAAAATGACCTAAAACGAATATCATGGAAGATAGATGTCAATTCTTCGCGGGTAGCTAGCTAACATTTCTTGGCTAGCTAATAGTAGTAGCTATCCCGTTAGGCCTGTTGACTTAATATGGGCTTGCGATCTACGGTACGTAAACATTGCGAAAATTAGCACAGCGTGTACCATATTTACTAATGTATCAAGATACAATATTGTAGTCAGGCAACATATGAGATGTGAATAGGCAACATTTCATTGTGAAGTTGGAGTGTATTTTCTCTCGCTTCAGCTCAAATAATGGCCACAATTGATTTCAATAAATGTTGCGTAATTTTTGACGTGGTTACGTCATATTTCTTGCATACTTTCAGTTGAAAATTGCATCAATGCATGCTTCAAATTATGTACGTATTGGAGAAGTGCCCTCCCGTACTCTGACCCTCCCGTGCTCCGATGTGCGTGCTTGGACCACGGTAGTATGCGTTTTGAGAAACACCTGCTGACTTTCCTCAGACAGGTGGTTTTCTGCCACCCTTCCTTTTCTCTCTGATCCAGCAACAGATGGTGAAGCCTTAGTCATTTCTCAGTGAGAGGGAGGGTTTTGGTTCACACTTAACTGAGCCCCCCCCCCCCCTCACATATATATCTTTGATATATATTATCTATATTAGTATATCTATTTACTATCTATTTTAGCTATCTCTATTTCTTCTACTATATTTCTATATCTATATACCTTATTTATATTTATTATTTTTATATCTATTATATATATATAT